TTTGAGTATATAGACATGTTCTTTAGATGTAGGGAGCACTTTAGGTGTCAAGAGTGGGAATATTATAGGAATCACAGTGGGATTTGTCCTCAAAGATAGATAATATTTTAGTGATCAGAGTAAAGATTGTCATACATAGGATAATTTGTATTATTAGAGTGTCATAGCTGAAGATTGTCTTCAAATGATAATATTCACATATTTGTAGGGATCACATCTGACATGTTCATATTAAATGTTAGAATAATATTATAGGGATCACATGAATATTCCTCAATTAGAAAGATCATATTATTTGGATCACAGTGGGGATAGTCCTCAAAGATAGGTAATATTATATAGAACAATGTGGGGTTTGTCTTCGGGAATGTATAATATAGTGACCAGTGGGAATTGTCTTTCAAGATGAATACTATTATACGGGTCACTTAGGCTTGCATTTAAAGATGGATATTATTGTAGGTATCAGAATGGGGATTGTCACCAAAGATGGATAATATAGTGTTGTAGGTGTCAGAATGGAGGGTGTCTTCAAAGACATAATATAATAGGGTCAGAATGGGGATTGTCTCCAAAGATGGAAAATATTCTGGGTGTCAGAATGGGGATGTTAATTAAAGATGGATAATAATGGGGATTGTCTCCAAAGATGGATAATATAATATTGTGGGTGTCAGAATTGGGATGTGAATTAAACATGGATAATAAAATACTGTAGGTGTCAGAATGGGGATTGTCTTCAAAGATGGATAATATTCTAGGTGTCAGAACGGGGATGTTAATTAAAGATGGATAATATAATATTGTAGGTGTCAGAATGGGTATGTTAATTAAAGATGGATATTTTAATATTGTAAGTGTCAGAATGGGGATTGTCTTCGGGGATGTATAACATAGTGACCAGTGGGAATAGTCTTCGGGGATGTATAACATAGTGACCAGTGGGGATTGTAGGTGTCAGAATGGGGATTGTCTCCAAAGATGGATAACATAATATTGTAGATCAGAATGGGGATTGTCTCCAAAGATGGATAATATATTATTGTAGTGTCAGAATGGGGATTGTCTTCGGGGATGTATAATATATTGTAGGTGTCAGAATGGGGATGTTAATTAAACATGGATAATAATATAATAATAGGGCTAATAGCAGGATTGTATTTAAAGATGTAAAATATTTTAGTGGTCAGAATTAAGATTGTCTTGAGATGTATAATATTATAGTGTATGGGAATTGTCTTTAACAGTGTATAATTTATAGAGGTCAGAGTGGGAAGTGTCTTCGGAAATTTATAAAACACAGAAGTCAAGTCAGATTGTTTTCAGACATGCATAGGGTGATAGAGGTCAGGTGAATCAAGCTGTTAATCCCGGTTGTTCCAGTATTTGACCTGTTATTCCCTTGTACATGCCTCTTTACTGGAACTTGCCCTCACATCAACATTTAAGGAGCGCAGTTTTGATGTTGAACATAGTGAGTGTTGACACATCTTCGACATGTATAACATAGTGACCAGTGGGGATTGTCTTCGGGGATGTATAACATAGTGACCAGTGGATACCAATGCCTCATGCTTTTAAGATGACATATTCCTATATTGCCACACTCGACAGGCCATGCATTTAAAGAGAATCCTGTTGCTGTAGGTGCAGAGATCAGAATGGGGATGGTCACCAGATTTATGGATAATACAGTGTTGTTAGGTGTCAGAATGGAGGGCATAGTCTTCAAGACAGCTCATATCAGAACAGTCAGAGAAGGGGATTGTCTCCAAAGATGACAACCAGCAGCATTTTAGGTGTCAGTAACGGGGATTGTCAGCAAGTTCATGCAAAGATACAATATGTCATAGGTGTCACTGAATGAGGGACCTTTCTCCAAAGATGGATAATATAATATTGTAGGTGTCAGAATGGGGATTGTCTCCAAAGATGGATAAAATAATATTGTACTGTCAGAATGGTGATTGTCTTTAAAGATAGATAATATAATATTGTAGATGTCAGAATGGGGATGTTAATTAAACATGGATAATATTATAGGGATAATAGCGGGATTGTATTTAAAGATGTAAAATATTTTAGTGGTCAGAATTGAGATTGTCTTGAGATGTATAATATTATAGTGTGTGGGAATTGTCTTCAACAGTGTATAATTTTAAAGAGGTCCGAGTGGAAATTGTCTTCGGAAATTTATAAAAATACAGGAGTCAAGTCAGATTGTTTTCAGACTCGCACATTGTTCACCAGTTTTCACATGGGAGAGTGAAAGACATTTTGTGTGATTTTCCATGGCACAGGAATACAGCTGGTTATGGGGGCGACCTGTCTACAGTGATATTGACACCTCAGCCAATGACTGACCTAACACTGTCAGTGTAATTGTGGGAGCCATGGTAGAAAGAACAAACAAACTTTATTTTCAAAGGGTCACAAATTAGGCACGCAGGCCTGTTTTACATTCGGACCTTTCAAACTCCCATCTCTCATACAGCAGTTGTATTTCATCAATAAAGCATGTTATGTTCATGTAATAATATGCATCTTGCCTGCCAGCCCAAATGTCTTGAGTTCGAATCTGCGTTGATTTTCATCATTGGTGTGGGCTCACAGATCAACCAAATGTGGAAACAGGACCAAGGACTGTCTTGGGAGGTAAAGGTGGCAGGCATGATGCTGACTGCATCACCCATCTGGTCTGTAAAACTTTGGGTTCAGCATGATATATCTGATGTGAAAATGGCATGAAAATAGTCATTTCTCTTATAGTAAACATCCTACTCCCTCTGTCTCTCTTTATCTATCTCTGACATCTCCTCACTTTTGTTTCCTTCTCTCCCCTTCTTTTCCTCCAACATCCAAAAACTTTACGAAGATCCCAGTGTTTTATTTTACAAGAAAGATAATCTGCAAATGTATTTTGCTTCACATTTCACATTGATGTCACTTGCTTGCTTATCCAATAGTGTGTATTGTGTTATTATCACCATGTTACATAAAATGTGAACAGTTCTAAATTGACTAAACTAATTTAACATAAACCTACTGTTGTTATGGAATCGGTATGTGTTTGTTTTCTTGCTTGTGTTTTATGTTGTTGAATTAGATCTGTGTGCTACTAACCGAATAGCTTGTCATTCCTTGCTGCTTTATGTTGACCAGTGCTAGTAGCATGGTTTATTTTGTGCTATTGCGCAGCAGTACACAGTTCAGGCACCTTTTTCAGGCATCCGTTGTTATTGTTGTCAGCGCTACTGTTATAGATACTGAATGATGAATACCTGCACATTTTTTAAAAGACACTTTGTGGTGGGTGCTGGCCTCTTTTTCTAGAAGAAGAAAGCCCTGGATAGTATTGTTATTTGTATTATGTTTCACTTACAGTGTTTTTCTCTGTGCACATTTTTTTTTCTGCATTTTCACAATGGGATTGTAACTTAAAGGTTTACAACCAGTGACTCACAATGCCACCGTTTAGATCCCAGAAATAAGTACTAGGAAATGTTGTGGCATAATGTTGGCCTTTTTAGCCATTCCACTATAACAAAATGGGTGTAGCATCATGTGTCCGACACATCACTGATATGAAAAGAGCCCTTTATTTTTCACTTTTTTTTTAATCGATAACAAATTGAATCCTGTGTGTAAGTATAAAATAATTGTTCTTGTTTTACAGAAAAAGCTGATTGTAAATCTTTGTGTCAATGTTTAGAATAAAACACTGCCATTACAGCCTGTATTTGCCAATATTACATTGTAAAAGTGGGATGATGAAGCCTGCAGATTTCGGGCCACATGGCCACTGCTGTCATAAAGCATGCCACAAAGGGTAAAAAATATCACAGTGAGGCTTATATCTCTTTTGAGTAGGAGATATCACATTGTAATTATTGTATATTGAGGTAGAAGTAACAGTGAGTTCAATGCATGAGTTTAAAATATCACAGTAATTTTTTTTTTTCTATGAGATGACTTTAGAAGTATCACAGTGAGGTTTATATTTATAAAGATTTTCAGTAGCATAAAAAATGTAAATCCAAAATGAGGAGTAGAACTAGTAAGACTCACAGTTTCACTGTCATGAGCAACATTACATTGCAGCTTTTATCAGAATACAACTTAAACAAGAACAGACAATAGCTTATCTGTAAATGTTACAGACATATCTATAGCACGTCTGAGTACATATGCAATGCAGAAAGAGGATACTGGACAGGAGGTAAATCATAGTGGTTGAATGGGTGTTGTAAGGCAGGGAACGTGACTCAAATTTTGTGATAAAGCTGTGTTGGATGTTAAGGCCCTTTGGAGAGAGACTGCCCATTAGACAGATAAGATGGCTCTCAGGAGCTTGCAGACTCCTTCTTCATTGTCATGCATCCAAGAGACATGATTTTGTTGTGCCTGTTTACGGCATAGTGGTGACACATCTAACTTCATTGGGCATTTGTTCACAATGGTTGTTTCATGGGATATGACGTAGAATTATTTGTGTGGTGTCGTCTTTGTCCCTTTATCTATAGGTGTCTCCTGGAGAACCCATGCAGGGAAACTGTGTAAAGACTGGCCAGCCTTCATGGGAAAGCAGAGGCAGATCATATCCTTTTCCTGCCATCCAAGGATTCTTCCATAAATGCAGAGCCAACAAATTACTTGCAGACTCTTTCATTGGAGTGGCTAGATTTGATAGTCACAACTCCATGGCGAAGACTCAGCGACCCTGAGAATTAAAATTAATATGCGCTGGTTTAAGAATACCATGATGACTGACGTTTTCTAAATGCTCCACTATGGGAATCTAACCCTGGTAAATGTTGAGGATACACCCCCTGTCACCTGGAAAAATCACTAGAATTGGCATCCGTAGTGTTACTTGGGGTGAGCTGAATGAAATAGCATGATCTAAATTGGTTGAGGGCTTATGCTGCACTGGGGGTAAAGGGACACACATCCGTCTGTACAATTAGTTAATCTTATTTTTTTTTTTTTTTGCTCTGCAGACGCAATGATCCACCATTGGCTGTTATTACTCAAGATTCCATGACAGTTGAGGAAATTGGTAAGTTTGAGCAATAAGTTGTTTCATAAAGGTGAAACTCGAATGGGAGCAGATCTCCTGCACAGGTGAACATTCACATGTTGGGGAAAGTCTCTCCCTTTTCTAGGAACATGTCTTCAACACAGATGACTGTTAGTGTGAGAGTAAGACTCCTGCACAGATGAATGACTGTGAGAGAGTAAGACTCCTGCACAGATGAATGTCTGTGAGAGAGTAAGACTCCTGCACAGATGAATGTCTGTGAGAGAGTAAGATTCCTGCACAGATGAATGACTGTGTGAAAGTAAGATTCCTGCACAGACGAATGACTGTGTGAAAGTAAGATTCCTGCACAGACGAATGACTGTGTGAAAGTAAGATTCCTGCACAGACGAATAACTGTGTGAAAGTAAGATTCCTGCACAGATGATGACTGTGTGAAAGTAAGATTCCTGCACAGATGAATGACTGTGTGAAAGTAAGATTCCTGCACAGATGAATGACTGTGTGAAAGTAAGATTCCTGCACAGATGAATGAATGTGTGAAAGTAAGACTCCTGCAGATTTGGATGACACAGAGTAAGATTCCTGCACAGATAAATGACTGTGTGAAAGTAAGACTCCTGCACAGACGAATGACTGTGTGAAAGTAAGATTCCTGCACAGACGAATGATTGTGTGAAAGTAAGATTCCTGCATAGATGAATGACTGTGTGAAAGTAAGATTCCTGCACAGACGAATGACTGTGTGAAAGTAAGATTCCTGCACAGACGAATGACTGTGTGAAAGTAAGATTTCTGCACAGATGAATGATTGTGTGAAAGTAAGATTCCTGTACAGATGAATGGCTGTGTGAAAATAAGATTCCTGCACAGATGAATGACTGTGTGAAAGTAGGATTCCTGCTCAAACGAATGACTGTGAAAGTAAGACTTCTGCACAGACGAATGACTGTGTGAAAGTAAGATTCCTGCACAGACGAATGACTGTGTGAAAGTAAGATTCCTGCGAATTTGAATGACACAGAGTAAGATTCCTGCACAGACGAATGACTGTGTGAAAGTAAGATTCCTGCACAGATGAATGAATGTGTGAAAGTAAGATTCCTGCAAATTTGAATGACACAGAGTAAGATTCCTGCACAGACGAATGACTGTGTGAAAGTAAGACTCCTGCACAGACGAATGACTGTGTGAAAGTAAGATTCCTGCACAGATGAATGACTGTGTGAAAGTAAGATTCCTGTACAGATGAATGACTGTGTGAAAGTAAGATTCCAGCACAGACGAATGTCTGTGTGAAAGTAAGATTCCTGCACAGACAAATGACTGTGTGAAAGTAAGATTCCTGCACAGACGAATGACTGTGTGAAAGTAAGATTCCTGCATAGACGAATGACTGTGTGAAAGTAAGATTCCTTCACAGACGAATGACTGTGTGAAAGTAAGATTCCTGCACATATGAATGACTGTGTGAAAGTAAGATTCCTGCACAGACGAATGACTGTGTGAAAGTAAGACTCCTGCACAGATGAATGACTGTGTGAAAGTAAGATTCTTGCACAGATGAATGGCTGTGTGAAAGTAAGATTTATGTATAGAGGAATGACTTTGTGAAAGTAAGATTCCTGCACAGATGAATGACTGTGTGAAAATAAGATTCTTGCACAGATGAATGACTGTGTGAAAGTAAAATTCCTGCACAGACGAATGACTGTGTGAAAGTAAGATTTCTGCACAGACGAATGACTGTGTGAAAGTAAGATTCCTGCATAGACGAATGACTTTGTGAAAGTAAGATTCCTGCACAGACGAATGACTGTGTGAAAGTAAGATTCCTGCACAGATGAATGACTGTGTGAAAGTAAGATTCCTGCATAGATGAATGACTGTGTGAAAGTAAGACTCCTGCAAATTTTAATGACACAGAGTAAGATTCCTGCACAGACGAATGACTGTGAAAGTAAGATTCCTGCACAGACGAATGACTGTGTGAAAGTAAGATTCCTGCACAGACGAATGACTGTGTGAAAGTAAGATTCCTGCACAGATGAATGACTGTGTGAAAGTAAGACTCCTGCAAATTTTAATGACACAGAGTAAGATTCCTGCACAGACGAATGACTGTGAAAGTAAGACTCCTGCAAATTTGAATGAGACAGAGTAAGATTCCTGCACAGATGAATGAGAGAGAGAGTAAGACTTCTGAATGGATAGGCATTCATATTGTATCATTTCACCCACACAGATGATCAGTTGTGGGACAGAACATTTCCCATATAAGTGACTGACTGTTCATGTCGCTCTGGAGCTCACAATCTTGGAACATCCTCAGTTTCGTTTAGTTGTTAGAATGACATCATAGCACTGGGGACATTCCAGTAAGTGCTCCGTCCCCATCTTCAGCTGCCAGCTGTCCAAACTCCATTGGTACCAGTTTCAGTCTGATTGTAAGTCTGTCTTGCCTTCCCACTTAGTGTGGAGTGTTGACCAGATTGGAACATCCTCAAAGAATGTTTAGTTGACCTATGTTTAAAGGCATGACCATAGCACATGAATCTGTAATAGAAAGAATGGCAGTGCAGTAACCTAGAGGGGAGTTGAGAACCAACATCCTAGCAACATATTCATAAGCACTGCCTCCCCACCTTCAGCAGCCATCATAGAGTTCCAGTTCCTGTAATACCAGTAGCAATCTGACTATGAATGTCTTACCTTTCTTCTGAGTATTGAGTGTTAGCCAGGCTCCTGATGATTACTCCCTGCTGCACCATTCTCTCCAGACCTCTCCAGGTCTCTTTGAACCATGATGGTCTATGTCTGCTTCCACACTGTTTGCCTACTTCCAAAACCACTTAGTGACTTAGAGAGGACAGTAAACTGAATTCTGATAACAGTCTTACATGTACTTCCTGTCCAGGTTAGAGGTTGAATATTGAATTAAGAATCAACATCACAGCACTCGGGACAGTCCCCATCTTCAGCAGCAAGCGGAAGAGTTCCAATTCCGATGGTACCAGTAACCGTCTGATTGTATGTCCGTCTCATCCTTCTCCTGAGTGTTGAGCGTCGGCCAGATCACCTGGTAACTCCTCGCAGCGCCATTCTCCTTAGACTGTAATGATCTATCTGCTCCTCAGCACTGTTCACTTGCTCCCAAAGGGCCCTTACAATATCTAACTTGTCATACATCAATTCACCAGCAAGTGGTTCAGAGCCAGCCAGTCTATCTGCCTTCTCATTTCCCAACACATCGCCGCTATAACCTGGAGAAAATATCCAAAGAATACTAACTACCCGCGGCCTCCGAAGTGATGCTTGCCACTCTACACGAAACATGCCTGTTTTACCTCTCTCAACATGCTCTGTCAGTTGCAATCATGGCATGTGTTCCAGGTTAGAGGTATCAAAATGTAACAGCTTACATTCCTTACTTAATATAAGAAAGGACCATTTTCATGCTACAGGGTACAGTGCTGCGTCTGTATTTTCATAGACAAATCTGCACTTGATGGGTGATGTAGTATAAACATCATGCCATCTGCCTCTACTTACCTGGTACACCTTTATGGCTGGGTCAGCATAGGTGCTGAGTTCAGTTTTGAATAAAACATCCGCTTTGATGCAGATTTGAACCCAAGACCTTCAGACCGGCAGTTGATAGTCTTACCACTATGTTATGCTGGCTTCTTCGTTACTTAATATGCTTCCCCAAACTGATGACTGTAAAAGTACACCATGAGTGGTTACATGCCTGCATTTCTTCTTCTCCCCCTCCTCCTCCTCTTTCTTTTTCTTCTGCCTCTTCTTCTACTTTTCCTCCTCCTTCTTCTTCTTTCTCTCTTCTTTTTCTCATTCTCAACATTTTCTTTTCGATTTGTCTTCCTCCTCCTCCTCCTCCCCTTCCTCCTCCTCCTTCCTCTTCTGTTTCTTCTTCCTACTCCTCCTTCCTCTTCTTTTTTTTCTTCTCCTTTTTTGTTTTTTTAATCCTTATTTTGCTTCTTCCTTTAATCTGACATGGAGCAGGACTGATATATGTGTAGAAACACAAATGCCTGTATCATCTGACAGAGCAGGTATTCTGTTCTGAATTTATTTATCTTTTCTAGGTCTCCAGAATAAAAGCACAGTATTTATTCTGAATATGTAGCTTCTGTATTTGTTAATAAACTTTTATCTTCCCTGAATTCTTCAAAGGAAAAATAAGAGTTTCTGTCTTGAATTGTTAAAATTTTTTTCCTAAGTATAGTTTCTATTCTGAAAATGTTAACATCTGTCTTCAAGTATGATTAATATTTTTCGTATGTTAACATCTGTCTTCAGATAGTTTCTGGTCTGTATATGTTAACGTCTGTCTTCAAGTATAGTTTAGGTTCTGCAATATGTTAACATCTGTCTTCAAGTATAGTTTAGGTTCTGCAATATGTTAACATCTGTCTTCAAGTATAATTTCTGTTCTGCAATATGTTAACATCTCTCTTCAAGTATAGTTTCTATTCCGCATATTGTAACATCTGTCTTCAAGCATATGTTCACATTTATGTTCCGCAGAGAACTTGCTGAGGAACACAGAACACAATGGTTTCCCAGTAGTGGTGTCCAGAGAGTCACAGTATCTTGTAGGGTTTGTGTTGCGGAGAGATCTCCTTTTGGCTACTGGTAAGTAGTCTTGAGTAAGTCAGAGCTTTCCAAATATTTTCATTTTGGCAACACAATTTTCAGACATTCATAATTTTGTGACACAGTAATTCAGTCTACTCACAAACCAATTAGCTCGCCAGTTATTCTGTAAACTCTGGCTGAAGATTTTGTTTTTGGTCCACTTCTGGACTGGTCTTGTTCCAGAATTTTAGTTTTGCATGCACATCTGGTTTATTTGAAAGCAACCTGCTGGTTCTTCACCTCTTAAGCATATGCACTGTGTTTGAATGAAACATCCCTAATTAGGCGAATTTTATGACAGGCCTTGGATCTCAGGTTGACCTTGGTACAGTCCTGGGTAGTAAAGGCGGCCGACATGA